AAAAGAAAATTTGTATCAACAATATTTTAAATAAAAGTTCATTTTCAAGAAACCAGTATGAGATTGAGACTAGGGCTTTGAAGTCTTCCTGGCAGTCTGCTGTCCTCTAGCATCAGCAAGACATTTTCACCCAGAGAGCTTCTGATCAGTGGATATTTTTTCTTTTTAGGAACATGCTCTGTAAACCAAAGAGATGGTTGTAAGAAAATCCCAGTATTTCAGCTGTTTTACTCAGACCAGCACCTCTGGGACCAGCAACCATTCAAAGTAAACTTAAATAACCATTCTTCCCAATTAACATCAGTATGTCCCATTGCTAGGTTTGCTTAGTCTACCAGCATATTGTCAATAGCAAGGATGAACTTCCAAGGGTCTTGTGCTCACCTCAGTGTTGTGAAGCTGTAATGGAGTAAACTGATATATAACCACTTGACTTTAATACCATTTAACCATATTCTGTTCAGTGAATGTCAACCTACAAAGAAAGAAGACTGCTCCTACATAATTCTGCTTCATTTAAATAGTTTTTGGTCATCAGGCCTATTGAGTCAAGGTCTTTCTGATCACAAACGTTTCCATTACAAAATCCTGTTTTTACCCATTCTTCCTGTGCCAAAATGATGACTGTATTTAGATAATAAAAGTCTGGTTTTAGTCGGCCTGTCAACACAATTTAAAAAACAGGTATGTAGTTTGAAGTCTACACTTTCACTACACATTGAAATGGGGAGATTGCAAGGGCGCAATGCTGCAATGTCATGTTTAATAGGTCATTTGATACCGATGCTACTCTGATGGGTATGTGAGTTAAAGCCCTTGTTATAGGAAGCAAATGCTTGTCTCCTCTGCTGCTTTGCTTTGTATACACAGTCATAATAAAAAGGAAGTACATCTTCTGTTCAGTTCAGTTTTGCCTGGCAGGATATACCAGGTGTTAAAATGAGGTAAATACAATCTGAGATAAGCAACGGTACATGGGATATTACATCATGTCAATGTTTATAAAAAAAAAACCAAACATAAGCCAATCAGTGCCAAAATAGGCGAGCAGTGCATGATAAACTAAGTACTCCCTGTGATTCAGTAGCTTGTAGGACCACCTTTAGCAGCAACAATTTGACATAATTGTTTCCTGTATGACTTAAACACTTTCTCGCATTGTTATGGAGCAATCATATTACTAAAGGTGCTACTGACATGGTAAATGGACTGATTCTTATATAGTGTTTTTTTACTCTCCTGGAGCACTCAAAGCACTTTAATGATATGACATTCTCACCAAATGTTGGTAACGACCAATGCAATCCACACATGCAAAGAAATCAATACACAAAGTCCATAAATGATGTGTAATAATGAGAAATGACAAAGGGAAAAACCTTTAGAAATGTAGTTAGTTAGACAACTGGGGACATGTTCAATACTGATTTGCTTTTTACTGTAATGGTTATTTGAGAAATAGCAGTGTAGGGATGTATTTATTTATGTAAATACGATGTGGTAACATAAAAAAAAAACGTATTCAGGCATCTATCTGCTCTTTGATCTTGTATCGTTGTTGTATTATTGAATCTTGAACTGTAACAAAGGACAAGGAGGGAGTAAACTTCTGTCCAGCTTCTTCAGCTGAGTGAGTGCAACCGCTTGGAAGCAAAATCAATGACTTAGTGAGTCATCTCTTTTGAATTGGAGTTCTCGGAGAAATACACAATTAAGGGTGGCCATGCATACACTCTCATTCAATTATTTCCCCTCTTGTTGTGCTTTAAAGGAAGATTTAAAGGGAGCATGCAGAGCTCATTTTAAGATAAACGTGTAGTTATAAAGCCTCCAATGGTGCTATAAAGCATTTTTTTTACTTCTCTAAGTTGGTCTGTTAGTCTTGGGCACTCACATGTACACAGGTTATTTGATCCATCATCCTGGCAATGACATGCCTGCTGGATTTAAAACGTGCAACTTTTGTTGTCAGGACAGTCACTCAAATGGGCTGAATTAACCTTGAAACACCAAAACCCTTTGAGGTAAAAGCGAGACCTGTTCTACCATCTTGGACAGTCACACTCTTTAACAACACAAACACAGAGTAGTGAAGGATAAGAAAAGTGCTGATCACCAATTCTCCATAGGCATAGGCAGACACAAGATATTAAGAGCTGGTCTTAAATTTATCTTGTTCATATTCCTGGTTGATATTTTCCTTCTCTGGGACATGTTTAATCTCCAAAAAAGGACACAGAAGGGAAGCTTAAGTGGTTTGCAATAGAGGTTGATAAAGAAGAGGACATGGCAGCCCTTGCAGCCAGTTCTTATCGTCATCTGGAAGGACAGATATGGTGTTCATTTTTCCAGACTGTTAAAATATTGAACTTAATTGTAGAAAGAAGTTGGGCATTTCAAATACTTGTGATTGCTTGCAGTCACACAACTTCTGATTCCAAAAGACTGTTTCTCTCATTTGAAAAGTCTTTTCCTAAATATTGTTCATTTTTATGGCTCTAATAAAGATG